CCACACTGCCTTCTTCGCTCCTTCATGGGATACTTCATAAATGAAGCGCAACAGTCAACTATCCCAATATTTTTGCTTGATGAAGACGAGCAACACTTTTTAACATTTTTCCGTGTTCTTCAGTTGTTACTACGGGTTTATTATGCTGTTAAAACCCAGAAAGAGCGCTCTGTTGCGCGGGCAACACTACCATCAACAAAGAAAGCTCATTTCATTAGAAGCATTTGAAATTTACTATTTTGATTGTAGGCATGAATATAAATTTAAAATAAAATCCACAAGCGCATCGATAGTAAGTAAATTATTGGAGGGTATCAGCTCCCTGGAATAACTGAATAGTTGAAAATACTAGCTCAGGGGGCTGGATTATGCATGAATAAATTCAATATTGATAGCGGTGGTACTCTATGGTCCATGCTTGCTTATAAACGTTTAAACATATAACCAATATACCTATGCAAAATTTTTTTAGGATAAACCGAGTTGTGAAAATAGTATGGATCAAAGGAAGAGTAATTTTCTTTCAAAGGTGATTTTAATTTCGAGGAAGAGGCAGTTTTAATAATGTGTTAGTCAGTTGTCTTCCCCATCTTTTGCGCAAGAAATCACTTTTATAATACGTTTATTCAGTTCAGTTCTAACTGGGTATAACCTGGGTAGGTAATACAGTGGCACCGTATTAAGCGGTCACCCTATATGAAGTGGCGAGTCAGTTGCCAAAGCCCCGAAATTTTTATTCCTTGTAGTACTTCACCTCAGTACTTCACCTCAGTCTATTAAGCAGGCGTGGTCACCCTTGACTAAGTCTTAACGGCCTGTTTGTATTGTTTTTCACCTGAATTTCGGTAACGTCTAAAATAAAACTAAGAATTATCTCTCGAGTCAGATTTATCCCTTGTTTAAGAATCAATGCTACCGGTACTTTCAATGCAAATTCTCTTATCGCATTGCAGACAAATTTTCTTCTCTACTGTCAGGTCAACCTGTATCAACCGAAGTGGTCAACCTGAGTTAGGCGGTCAACCTATGCTGGCTGTCACCGATCCCGCCATTCCCGATGGGTAACCGCTTGATATTCAGGTTTGACTATATGACTGTTTACTGATTCACACTCACTTAAGAAAAAAAAATTCTAAAAAATCAGTTTTAAGCTAGGTCAAAGGAGATGCCAAAAACTTCTGTGACCTCCTTTGGTCCAAAGCCAGAGAAGATAGGTGTATTCTCCTGGTCCAAAGCTACACGTTGTGAACCTTCATGGTGTTGTTGGAAACAAAGAGCGCTTTAGCGATAAAGATTTCTCAACTTTACTGACAGACAGTCTGGTCCTTTAGGTATTTGCTTCTTCGGGCGACTTGACTCTTTTTTTTAGGCAACATACTAAAATTTCGGCCAACATGACTCAGGTTTTGAGCGACATGACTTTGGGCGAGATGACTCTCAGGCGACTTTACTGGTTACTGAATCAAACGTTGCACCCGCCTCTAGGCCTTTATAGATTATGCTAGTAAAAGTAGCATATTATGCTATTAGCGGCTTTTTTTTGGCGAAATTATGCCAAAATCATTATGCTCTTTTTTTCCAAATCATGCCCCTTTTTTTAAAATTATGCTCTTTGAAAAAATTGTAAATAAGTCCAAGAAATACATTTTTTAATTAGAAGCCGTTGGTCTACAAGAAAGAAACGCAACAAATCCACAATGAAATTCAAATAAACATGTGGTTCATGTTAACCTGGGCTCAGACCGTTTCAGACGCCGCTCACTGATTCACAGTGAACTACAAATGCTACTACTTGAACTAAAACTTAAAACATCGAATAACGTCACCAAGTGCTTGGGAGTAGAGATGAACAATGATCAAATTGTAGATTTCATTCATTCATTGATTTATTCTTTTATTCACACTTATTCTACTAAAAATACAACAACGAGAAAGAGAAAAAGTAGAAAAAAAAAAGAAGAGAGTTCTAACTATACATGAATTTACACAAAGCAGTGGAAAGAGAGTGTAGTAGCCAAAGGAGCCAAGCTTTCGAGTTGGCCACTACCACAGAGCAGTTACGGATGGGTGAAAGTTAAATACACTTAAGGAGATAGCACATATACTAAATAGTTAAAATAGTAAAATAGAGCTCTATGATAGGTTAAAGTTGTTCAAGATGTCTGCCTGCCAAGTAGGAAGAGTTTATATTCTTTTTTAAAGCTTTTGGCAGGGAGACACTTTATTTTAATAGGTATCGTTTGCCAGATCTGTGATGCCACCACACTAAATCTTGCTAGACCATAATTGGTTCTAGAGAATGGTCTGTACAAGTTTTGATTAGTGGCATACCTAGTAGAGTAATTATGGACAGCTGAAGCTGGTTGGGCTAGATCATAGAGGACTGGAGGTATATTCTTTTTTTGATATTGAATTTTATGCACAAGAGAGCCAATTTTTAATTTAAAAATATTCTCTAATCTTAAGATTTCTAATAGTGTGAAATATGGTGTAGAACTTTCTCTTTTGCTAGCAAAGAAGATGCTGCGGATACCGTTGTTTTGACTTATTTTGATTTTATTTAACCTGGTTTGGTATGCAGTTCCCCAGCACATCAATCCATATGTTAGATATGGATATATGAGAGTATAGTACAGTTGTTTGAGTGTGCTCACAGGTAAATAATGTCTAAGCTTAAATAGCTTAAATTTTTCTCGTAACTCTAGATTTACTATCAGTTTAGCATCAGTCCATAGGAAAATTGACAGATACAAAGGGTACCGTTGAATAAAAATATAGTAAAAGTAAATTTGTCTGGTACAATGTTTAAATAAGCGCCGCCCTCGAATAAGCGCCGCACTTGTGGCGCGATAAATTAAATAAGCGCCGCGGCGCTTATTGGAGTAAATACGGTAAGCTAACTGAGAGATTGAGGATAAGCGGAACTGTCTAAGAATTACTGAACGGAATCCTCTGATTGGTTGAAAGAATAGCGCGAGTTTTTAGACCAATCACGAAGTAAAATTAAGTAAAACCATAGGAGAAAACTGCTCAATCAAGTTATGAATTGAGAGCTAAAAACACATAAATATTAAGAAAACCAGTCCTTAGTGCTGATGACTTTGATTATTATTATTAGTGAGTTTCTTTCTTCCTCATTGTGGACATAAACATATATGTCAACAAGCTTTGCATTATATTTGCTGGCTTTGAAGAGGAGCTCTGGACTAATCCTTGAATATAAGCAATCAACCTTTAGTATTGTCTTCATAGTTAATCAAGTTAAAGATAATCAGCTTCTAAAAGACAGATTGCCATAAAAAAAAAGCAGGTTTGTACAGAACATCATTTTCCTTGGATTTAACTAATTTCCCTTTGTATATCGTAGGGGTCCTTTGTGGAAATGAATGCGATGCTAATTGAAAGACAGGTTTTGATGTCGCCCTGAGTTTTCAAATTGTATAACAACTGTAAGATATATTGATCAAAACTGAGAGAAAAAGAAAATTCGAAGCTCACTTTAAGGTCTTAAAGGAAAAGAATCGATGCATTGAAATTAAGAGCTAGAATGTATCTGAAACGGAATCNGTCATCAGTCCATGTCATAGCGCTTTGAGACCGTGCTTAAAAACTGCGCATCATCGTGCTTAAGTGCAGTGATGCAATAAAGATTTTTAATTATCATCCAGATAATCGCACAACACCACTACCTGTGAATGTAATATATTGTCGTTTTTGTGAGCGAACTTCAGCGATTTCAAATTGATAATTTCATTCATCACTGAATTTAAATTCATTCTGCCCGCCGTAACAAATTAGATGACCAAAGCATCTCCCCTGAACGTTTCTGGGAGTCTCGTTTATATGTACTTTTAGAAAAGGAAAGTCAGGAACAGAAAAACCGATAGGAGTGAAATATGGTGTAGAACTTTCTCTTTTGCTAGAAAAGAAGATGCTGCGGATACCGTTGTTTTGACTTATTTTGATTTTATTTAACCTGGTTTGGTATGCAGTTCCCCAGCACATCAATCCATATGTTAGATATGGATATATGAGAGTATAGTACAGTTGTTTGAGTGTGCTCACAGGTAAATAATGTCTAAGCTTAAATAGAATTCCGATGTTTTTTGTTATTTTATTGTTTATGTGCTGGAGCTGAGCATCCCATTTTAAATGTTCATCAATAAAAACCCCCAAATATTTTATCTGAGATTTTTGTTCTATATTGCAAGCTGTTATTCTGATATTTGTTCTCTTTTTAAGTGAAGTAATAATCATATAATTAGTCTTCTTGAAATTAATTGACAGCATATTTGCTGCACAGTATATTAAGACCTTTCTAAGCTCTTCATCAATAACTGATTGGAGCTGCTCAGGGTCTTTTGAAGAATAAAACATATTTGTATCATCTGCAAAAATCCTAAAAGTTAATTTCTCTGAAGACCTAGGCAAATCGTTAATATACAACAGAAACAGCAACGGACCTAGTGTGGAGCCTTGGGGTACACCGTATGTAATAGTTTTCAGGCTAGATTCTGTATTACCAACTTTGACATATTGCTTACGATTAGTTATATAGCTCGAAAACCATGCATGGGGGACTCCTCGGATCCCATATTTGTATAATTTTCCTAAGACAATATGATGGTTAATTGTGTCAAAGGCCTTAGAAAAGTCTGAGAATATACCACATGTAATTTGTTGACTGTCAATTGCTGACTTCAAGTTCTCTACAGTTTTGAGAATTGTATATTCCGTGGAATATCCCTTTCAAAAGCCAAATAATAATTGATAGTTAGCACCAAAAAAAGCCAAATTGATAGGTAGCATAAAAAATGATCAGATAATTATCCAAATATGCGAATTATGCTAGCATTGCTACTTGGCAGAAATTATGCCAGTTTGCTCAAATTATGCTAAAAATTATGCTGGCATAATCTATAAAGGCCTACCCATACCCGCCTCGGTCGTCGATGACTGTTGTCGACTGCGGGAGACTGGCTCTAGGATTTCGTTCCCGGAGATTCATGGGAAGAGGAAGGGAGTGAGTGTTTCCGTCCATTCCGTCTGAGAGAATTTCCTTTAAATCTTCCTTCGATATGTCGAAAGCGAGCCAGTCGACGAAATTTAGGGGCGTAGATGTAGATGAGTTGGATGAAAACACATTTCAAGACGATGGAGATGAAGATTCAGGTCAAAGCGGACCGGATGAGGGAGAAGTCAGCAACTTGCTCATGCAGTATCCTTTTATGCTACGGAAAGCTAAATCTTTATTTCACATTTTGGCAGTCTACACTATCTTGCTATTGGGAACGAAATTGGTTCTGTCAAGTTTGAATTATCTTAGACACACCTCTTGCCTTTTCATTGCGATTTAATCAACAAGGTCAGCAGTTAACCATGTTAGGATCATATATGTAACAGCTCACTAAAACACACTTAACCCAAGCTATGTTTTTGTGTCCTTAACATCAACCTAGGAAGAAAAATGCAGAAGCCCTTAAAGCTGCCTTGACGAATGCACCTATCATGTCGAAAAACCAAGCGACGAAGGTAGAGGACAACGATCAATTTTTTGGAATGAGTTTTAAAAATTTAATTGTACTTAATAGCTGGCTGGCTTGACATATGAATATCTTATTGGTTATGCAACTGGGAATCCTTTCATGATATGGGGCCAGATTGCCACCATCTTTTAGACTCTGAGGGAACCTCATAGGCAATATTTTACAACTGAACCCAAGGTCTTTGAAGAGCCCCTTGTCTGAAACACTACATGGGTAACAAGTGAAAGTGTAAAACTCCTCTTATTATGCTTTCTTTAATGAAACTATGTAGGAAATAATTTACAGCCAGAGGTTATAAGAGATCTCTACAAACTATTTTGTAGGATAAAGCATTTGGAATAGTGCTACGTGTTCTAATGGCTGTGAAGGCCGCTGAAGTGGACAAATGTGTTAAAATCTTGGACAAGAATGAGCAGGATGTGTTGATGAAGTATGTTTACAGAGGTTTTGCTGAGCCTTCAGAGGGATCCAGTGCTGTGTTGCTTACATGGCATGAAAAGGTCAGTGTGACATGTATTCCTTCTGTCTGAGCAACCTCTCCAACTGATCACACAACAAGTAGCGTAAAAATATTGAGTTAAAAATTCTGGAAAAGATGGTTTATGGGGAAGACTAATCTGTCATTTTCTAGTCTTATGTTTACCTCCTCAACAGTGAAAGTCCCTTTTTATGTGTTTGCATGAGAGAGCACTCCTTGCAGTGAACTCGCTAGTGCTCTTGTTCATGTTTCGAGTTGCTCTACTTTGTGTAAGTGATTGAGAACTATTTTCATTTTGGATCCAATCAAAGTTGTCCTCCTAGCATAGCTCCTTATATTTGAAACAGTTGGTTGAATTCTTTCTGATATGTTGAGAAGAAATCTTGGATGTGGTCTAATGTGGTGTTCCCATTTATAATAATGTAGCTATAGGGTTACTGTCTTATTTTTGGATTTTCTTGTGTTTCAGCTTTTGGCAGTGACTGGTCTTGGTTCCATTGTTCGTGTTTTAACTGACAGAAAAACTGTTTAGGCTGTCACTGTTTTTTAGGCAAAGGAAAAAACAGTATCATGTAAAATATGATTTATTAAGACTTCTTAGATTTGAGGAAAATCCAACCCAATTGTCTCTGACATATGAAAGGCAATTAAATTAACCTGTTAGTAACATTAACATTTTGACCAATCTCTTTAACTGTTTCTTTGACATCACCTAAAGTTTGAATTCCACCAATTATTTACAATCTGTCTTGAAAAGATCCGATGAATCTCCAAATGGATTGTTTGTACTCTTAGTGTCATAGTTTTGTATGAAATGATGCTGGTTTGATCTTGTCCAGTTTCTTTTTCATTGTTAGACTAAACAAAGCAGTGTTTCATAGTTGTTAGCCAATTAATTGCCTTTTTAACTTTGTTGGGTCTATTTCTGTGAAAAACTTGTGAATAACTGGATTTTTTACAAATGGGACTGTGTAACAACCTTTAAAAAATGAATAAAATTTTGTTTAAAATAATTTTGAGTGCTGGAGTGTACTAACGTTTTGTATAAGATGTACATGACACTTTTTTTATAGTTTCATGAATAAATAGAAGTCTCTAATACATCATAAAAGCTAAAATTTCAAATGATTTCCATTTGGGATTCATCCTTTATTGCACTCCTGAGCCTACATTTCTATTTTTCATATGGTCAAGATATTTTGATATTTGTTAAGTTTATCAGAATCAAACTGATAAGCTTCTGTTCTTTTGGGCACATTTCTTTTTTCATTGGCAAGTTGGAAGTCTTGTGTGTAATTTCAATGGAAATTTGCAAAACCTTGTAGGAGTGTGCTCTCCTAGTAAGTTTGAAAATACAGAAAAATGACTATAACCTAGCAAAAGTATAAGTGTTACAAGTGGCCCATACCCTTGGCAAGTGTTCACTTTACCTACACTCAGCAAGTTAATCCTTGATTTGCTCTCTAAGATTTGTCTTCTATCCATTAAAAAAACAAGGTCAGAACTACATATGATGCACGATCCTCGCAGTAGATAGCGCTATTTGAGAAATAGCGAAAATCAGACCTGAAAAAAAAAAACAGGCCTGTACAGGATTCGAACCACTGACATCTGCGATACTAGTGCAGCGCTCTACCAATTGAGCTAACAAGCCAACTGGGAGCAGGCCATCAAATTAATTCGATATAAACCCGTAGATGATAAATCAAACAACAACAAACATATGAAACATATGTGTGAACTGCGGTTATGAGACGTATATGAGAACGATCCTTCGCAGTAAAGCACTATTTGAGCAATAGTGAAAATCAGACCTGAAAAAAATTTCAGGCCTGTACGGGATTCGAACCACTGACCTCTGCGATACTAGTGCAGCGCTCTACCAATTGAGCTAACAAGCCAACTGGGAGCAGGCCATCAAATTAATTCGATATAAACCCGTAGATGATAAATCAAACAACAACAAACATATGAAACATATGTGTGAACTGCGGTTATGAGACGTATATGAGAACGATCCTTCGCAGTAAAGCACTATTTGAGCAATAGTGAAAATCAGACCTGAAAAAAATTTCAGGCCTGTACGGGACTCGAACCACTGACCTCTGCGATACTAGTGCAGCGCTCTACCAATTGAGCTAACAAGCCAACTGGGAGCAGGCCATCAAATTAATTCGATATAAACCCGTAGATGATAAATCAAACAACAACAAACATATGAAACATATGTGTGAACTGCGGTTATGAGACGTATATGAGAACGATCCTTCGCAGTAAAGCACTATTTGAGCAATAGTGAAAATCAGACCTGAAAAAAATTTCAGGCCTGTACGGGATTCGAACCACTGACCTCTGCGATACTAGTGCAGCGCTCTACCAATTGAGCTAACAAGCCAACTGGGAGCAGGCCATCAAATTAATTCGATATAAACCCGTAGATGATAAATCAAACAACAACAAACATATGAAACATATGTGTGAACTGCGGTTATGAGACGTATATGAGAACGATNTTTTATATCGCGAATTTTTTAGACTATAAATAACGCGCGTGAGAAATTAACATTTGGTAAAAGTGAGCAAGAATTATAAGGAAAGAATGCCAGTGTTTGTGGTAACTGACGTTTGCTTTGCAATTGTGGCCCAGGACATGGGGGTCCGCATGTCGTGTAATCCGAGAGAAGCAGAAGGCAGTTCACGACAGCATTTCGTGAAGCGAATGCGCAATCTATGTTTGGCGCTAATGCATGGTATGTACAAATTCATTAACAATGCTAAAATTAAAGTGTAAATATGGCAAACATATTGATTTTACGGTTCGTTACCAGTTTCAAATTGTATCCGTATCGTACAGGACGCTTTTTTTGTTGAAGTTGTTGAAGTTCATTTATTTGTTTAAGCAGGTTGATTAATTGGCAGCTGTAATAGCTGATGTGGACCTGCTGTCCTAACCCACCCATCCCACCCCAGGGGAGGACATCCATCACACAGTAATCTCGTGTGTGGGAAATTAACGTCTCTTGCCCCAACCCTGCAGGAGACGGGACCTCCATTTATTTGTCCCTATCCGAGAAGACTAGAATATCTAACCATTTCTTGATGTTATAGAAAGGTAGCAAATTCTTCTCAATTATTTTATGACCTTGAGTGTTGGTCTGGCTGGGGCTCGAACCCTCGACCTCCCGCACTACAGTCCAGTGCTCTATCCATTGAGCTAACCGGGAGGCGGTTTAACCATAACCATACCACGGTGCAAAGGGAGGGAGGGGGTGCAGGGCACCCAAAAAGAAACTTCAAATTGGAAGGGTGGTCTCATTGAGTATTTAACAATTATTCTACGAGCGTGCATTGGATGTGAGATGATAGATAACCAATGAGGTGCTACGCGCCTCGTTGGCTATAATCATCTCATATCCAACAAGCATGAGTGGAATAATTGTTTTATTAAAAAAAAAAATGCCCCCAAGATATTAGACAAATCTTCTCGACTTTATTTTGTAAGAAACTGGATGTTACAATGTACAGATATTAGATTATGGTATATTAGCTCATATACCATAATGGCTAAGCCAATAAAAAGTCTTGAATTGCATTATCCAATGATCCAGTTTTTAATAATCATGATTAGTGCATACCTGTAGTCCCCACTTTTTACTGTGGGAAGAAATATTGGTAAGGACACCTGACTGAGCAGTTGCATGATGTAGCACCCAGGTCAAGTGGCTGAAAAGTTTCTCAAAAATTATCTAAATGGGAAGGCTTAGCTGAAATATAGTCTGTTTTCCAACTGGTTTAAAGATTAATTCACTTAGTGAGGGAGAGATGTTACAAAGTTGTCAAGGTTGATCAAGACGATCATAGTGTACAAGTCTTTCTAAATGCTGCTTGACAAAATTGTAACAAACCTCTAACAGTTCTGTACTCTTAAAGTTTTCGAGTGTTTTGATCTGTGTAACAGGAGATTAAACAGTACACAGCTTGAAATGGATTAACAAGTCATCTCTGACCTTAACAGCTTGCAAATTGCTCCTAATGAGAACTGTTTTAGTGACACAGGGTACAATGGCATAAACTTAAAATCACAGTTGAAGAGTTACATTGTTCTGGTAGTTCACAGTTAACACCCTAGAGAAATGTCCCTCCCAGGATTGTTGTGTTAGCTATGAAGAAACAGTGAGCTAACTTTGTCCTAGTGACCACAATGATGTCCAGATAAGGTATTTAACTATCCTTTACCTTCTAGTTTAAGGCCTTGAATGAACTTGAATTTGGTTGATTTAAAAATGCATGTATCATAAATCTGGTTTAAAAATCAGTAATGGTAGTTAACCAAAACTGACAATCAAAATACTTAAAAGGCAAAACTTGAAAACTATTTCTCCCAAGAGACCCCCCCTGTGCACATAACTCATGTTCCCACATCTCTTAAATTTAATTCAACTTGGAAGTATAATTGTCTTTGATTTTATTCCCTTCCCACCCCAGGAAGACGAAAGAGCAGCATATAAAACTCAAGAATTTTATTGACACCATAACCTTTTGAAATCAGCACACTTAAACAAAGCACAGCCTTGTAAATAATACTGTTTCACATCCTGTACATCAAATTAATTAAAGTTGTTCAGACACATCCCAGTAATCCACACCAGTCTTGTGTATTGTCATTTGAAATAGTATGTTACATGCTTGATAAAAAGAAAGTCAAATCCATATAATTGCATGTCACTACTGCATTATTTTCTCAAAATGGGTTTCAGCTTGTGGCCTCCTTCAGATATGCGATGAGATCTAAAAACAATAAACAAATGTTTTGCTCACATTAATATTTTTGCATTAAGGTCAAACTTAGGTATGTACCTCAAAGTGTAGTTAAAGCAAACAAGAGGTCCTCCTCTTACACCTAAAACCCCCTTGCTTTTTTTGTTACCATTCCTTTTCTTTCTCTTCTCATCCTTTTGTATTCTGGCAACTATATAGCTTTACAAGCTTCAAAATCTCACAATTTGGCATTAGAAAATAGTATAATTAATGTTTCCAAAAAATCTTCTGAGATATAAAGAAAGTGCTATGTGGGTTGAGAGAATCTCTCAGAAAATGTTTTACCAACCTGCTCTCTCAGTTTTCTTCTTTAGACCAGCAAAGACCATCTTTGTTCCTTTAGGAATAGAGTAACATTAATTTAACACTTGAAACTAGTCAAGGAGAAAAACGAAGGGTCTACTCAGAATTTCATGCAACTCCTGCACTAATTTCAAATGACTTTTACTTGGCAAGAACATGATTACAACACAGCTATGGTTTAACTGTTAATCCATAATACTTTATTCCACATCCTCTGTTAAAATTTTACGATAAAAGAATTCTCAAGATTGCAAAACACATGGTAAGTCACAAATTGAAACCAAGTTGTGTCACATCATGCAATACAACAAAGCTCATTGTACTACTTGATTGCACTGAATTCAATTCCACCAGTGTCATTATGTGGTTTTGAACATGGTGTTCATGTTACATACTCCAAAGAATTTTTTGCATCAAGTTTCCAGCAGTAAAAGTGGGGCTTTTGAAACAGCATGCAAAGAATGAGAAGAAAAAATGAAAAACTAAAATGAGGCCTGAATTTTTCAAAATAGGTTAACTGTTAAAAGCTTACTGTGCTACTCTAGTACTTCAAGATAACATGGTGTTCCATTTAAAGTCAACCACTAATCCATTAACAGGTTCAGAAAAAAACTTGCTCTAGGAAATTTCCTGTTATTAAGCATGCATTGTAACTACATCTATAGTCCTACCAGGAATGTACTTCTTAGGATTTTCCAGGTAAATCCACAGAGTGTCTGGGCCCCATGTGATACCTTTGTTCTTGTTAGCATCAGTGTAAGTGAAACCTGGTGCCTGTCCAGTCTTGCGACCAAACAACCCATGAAGGTTTGGACCCGTTTTATGCTTACCATTCTAAATAGAAAACAAAAGGAACTGCTCAGGCATTACTTAGGAGATCTTTTTAACTAGGTACTATGAGTTATCTGTAGCAGTGGTAGCAGCAAAGATGTCTTAGGACTTTTCAAAACCTAACAACTCATTCAAGGAAGAGACTGCTTCACTTTGGGTCAGTAATGATTTTATGTTACACCACTCCAAAGTACTCTCTAAAATCTCAAGAGAGATGAAGTTAAGAACTTTTCACTTACTGCCTCTACTGTGTGACACTGTGCACACTTTGTTTTGAAGACCTTGGCCCCCTTAGTGGCATCTCCTGCTGGAATATCACCCATCGTTCCTGAATCAATAATAACAGATACCTTTAGTGACAAAGCAATGGCACAAACTTCTTCAATAATTCTGTATTGCCTTGAAAACCAAGGCACAATATGGTTAACCTTTAAACAGTACTCAACATCGGTATTTCACATTCACAAGAACGAAACTTTGGTCTACAACCAAGTGCTCTGATCTAATATACATAGACCGGAGGAAATTAGACAGGAGAAGGAGAAATGAAGACAATCATCTCATATGAAGCACAACTGAACAGAATTTGATTACATAACAGATTAGCTATCCCAAACTACATCATATGCAAGACAAATATGTTTTGCATAAAACAGAAAATTTTTAAAAGTTGCATCACGCTTTAAGCGGAGCATGGTATTTTAAAACTATCGGTTGGGGCAAAAACCTGTGACTAGAACACGAGAGAGCAGATGTTTACGAACGGAGGACTTCTAGGCAATGATCTTTTAGACGCAAGGTTTTTTACGCCCTTTGTAACTATCTTTCTTAGAAAGTTTCAATTTTCTACATACATCACGAACAACCCGTAAAGCGCTTGACTATTTGATTCGACTCGATCACCGGTTTTCTCAGAATATTACTACGCGACAAGTCGAAACATACTCAATAATGCCTTCCCTCTGGAAAATTTTCTTAAAATACGAACAGCGTTTGGAAATAATTTTAATCTCTGTGTTCATTAGCAAGAAAGGAAAGCAAAAACCGTGACGGCGAACATGAACTTTCATCAGTACAAGAGTCAAATACAAGCCGGTAAAATTCCGCACGCACACACGTGTGACACGACAGAAACGGTCCCCTGATCACTAAACAAACCTAAATGACTAAACAGAGTAGTAAATAGACGTATAAGAATGATAAAAGAGGAATTTTGACTGATTTATACTTACGTTAGATAAAAAAACTGCGTTGAAATACAAAGTCGCAACCGGCAACACGTATTGCTTCACACTTCCTCCGAGTGACAATTTGAAAGGATAAAAACGGTTTGCGTCATCGCTTATGTAAGACGTTCGAAATGCGCATGATCAGTGATACGGTAAGAAAGAGACTGGCGTCGCGGGCTCAGTTTCTACAGTGCCTAGCGAGTCTAGCGAGTCGCCTGGCGAATTTTTGTCCATTTCGAATCAAGTTCTGACTATGTCTGGAAGTTTGGAACTTGTGCAAACTCTGGAAGGTATGACAGTCTAAGGAAATTTATGTCGTATCTTTTGATTCTATTTTCGTTATTAGGAAAAATTTTAGCACCTCCCGTTCATCGCCTCATCTTAATCCTTGAAACTTTTTGTGATGTCCTCTTACTGTAGGTCACGAAGACAGGGTCTGGTCAGTTTGCTGGAATCCCTCAGGAACTTTATTGGCGAGCTGTGGAGGAGATAAAACAATATCATCATAGTTGACCTGGAAAAGAGTTCCATATAGCCCCATACATTAATTATGCATTCATTTCATAAAGACTAAATACAAAGGTTTCTTTGCAACACTCTATGCATAATTAATGTATGGAACTCTTGCCTTGACCTGAATTTTTTTTCAAAATTTATATTAAATTTTTTTATTAATGTTCTGAATTTGAAGGTGAAATAAGTCTTAAGAAAAATCTAGTTTTTAAATAAACCAACGACTACTGGATGAAATAGATATTATGTTATTTTTTCTGGTCAGCTTAATTATTTCATTTTTAAAAATTGACATTGTAAACTATTTTCCAGAGTACTGTTAGATGTAGGTACCTAATAGTCTGATTTTTCTTTCACATTTTTTTCATTGAATATTGTTTCTTAACTTGAACACATTCGTCTCTGGGGTAAAGAGGGAGATAAATGGGTTTGTAAAACAGTGCTTGAAGATGGACATCAACGGACCATCAGAGCAGGTGAGAAACATATCTTGAAGCTAAACAATACACAGTACTTAATTTTCATGATTCCTTTTTTATATATCTGTGGAATTGGGGAAAATGTGATGGTGACCAATTAATAGATATTTCAGTTTAAAACTGAAACAAATTGATATTTTGATTGTTTGTTTTTAATTAGTGGATTGGTCACCTAATGGGATGTACCTTGCTTCTGCCAGCTTTGATGCAACTATCTGTATTTGGGACAAAAACAGTGGAGGTAGACAAAAGAAGAACAGATGCTCCATAACCATTCTCAAATGTAGTAATCTATGATCAAAGGTTAAAGTTATAGTAAATGTTACAATGAATATCACCAACTATTCTTGCAAAATTTCATTACAAATATTAAACAACAACAAACATATGAAACATATGTGTGAACTGCGGTTATGAGACGTATATGAGCACGATCCTTCGCAGTAAAGCACTATTTGAGCAATAGTGAAAATCAGACCTGAAAAAAAAAAAAATTTCAGGCCTGTACGGGATTCGAACCACTGACCTCTGCGATACTAGTGCAGCGCTCTACCAATTGAGCTAACAAGCCAACTGGGAGCAGGCCATCAAATTAATTCGAATTAATTT